AATTCTGTTTTGTATTTTTATTTTCATTGATCTTACAACCAGACTGAACAAATCTATTCCATGTATAGCTGTAATAAACTCAAATCAGATGGTAAAATTATTGCAGTCGCTGAATGTTTAGCATCCTGATATTATTACGATACGGCTCAGAGTACGATAACGCAACAGGAAAACTTTAAAGTACTGATATGAACGAGGATACGGTAACAGTTATCTAAAGTGTATCTGCAGTACTCAGGCTGCATGACATGTGGAAAATATGTGATAACAGTGTTGAATATCATGATAACAAGATTACATGATGCCTAACAGCGAGGGCTACATCTGATTGGAGTAAACAGCACGCACATATCAGACAAAACAGCGCCTACAGACAGAATGATATTTAATACTATATTCAGTGTTTCGGAGTTTGAGTCACGGAGTGTGTAATTGATCAGTCGATGCAGTCAGAGTTGATCAGATCAGGTCATATCAATGGATGAGAGGAGCAGCTGCTGCAGAGGCAAGTGAAGGCAAACTTTTAGACCTAGAGCAATGAATGGCATTCTGCTTCTCTGTCTGTGCCCAGAGGACGCTCTGCACTCCTAGACTGTGAAGCACTTAATTACCTACTGGTATATATTCCAATAGTTATAAACGGTCCAGTTTCAAAAATAAAAAATCAATACATGGCATCAATTGTTATCGTGGCGGGCTGCCACAGATAAACAGATGTGTGGGAAACCCTGATGTTCAATATTACAGTCTTCTATTTATCATGCAGGTTGATACTGCCAAGAGGATTTCTTAAAATGAAAATTCTGCAGCTGTATCTGCACCTGAAACTGTAAAAATACTGACATTAATCACGTCCGTTATTACATATAGAACCAGAATACATAGAACACACAGTGCTGCACCTACGCAGTGTCTGCGTCAGTCTTTTATAATGTTCCTCGTTGGTGAAGCTCCGACACTCTCTGCAGTTCGACAGATTAATGTTAAAATACGACAATTAATCCACCAAAAGCTACAAATAATTTACATGATCTAATTCTTATTTTGTCACATTGAATACGGTTGAATTTAGGGCCACTAGTCAGACAAAACGAGATGTTTCATATCAGATTAATTAGTCGATAACTGCAGCGCGATGACAGCTGAAGTTAAAAATGGCTGCTGCATGGCGTTGGTGAAGGAGCTGCTGTGATGTGACTGTCTACTGTAAATATGCAGAAATGTGTTTTGCACAAAGGTGTGAAATGACACCTGGTGCTCAGAGAGGGTGAGCAGGCAGCGACTGTCAAACCATATAAACTGGCTGTAACGCTCTTTTCTATTGACTGGCACAAAAAAAAAATCAATACAGCAATATAATGTCGGATCAATTAAAGTGCTTTTAGTCCAGTTTTACGGCCGGAAACGACATCTGTCCGTCTGTCTGACAGCACTGTGTCTCACCACCTACGGACACATCTACATGGAGTTAGCTGCGGGTGTTTATGACTCCCTTGGGTGCTTTCTGGTGATTTTAGTGACCTCTGTGACCCTTTTTTTGTTGTTATTAGAAAGCTACCAGGACGATGACGGCCGCCTCAGGTGAGTGACATTACGTAGAACTGCTGCCATGACAGCTTAGCGTGTTTCACACTTCATCTGTGATGAATTTTATTTTTTTTTGTTTTTCATTTTTGCACTAAATAGAAAAAAATAATCAAAAAGATGAGTGTAGCATTTATTAAAACATCTGTTCACCAAAAGTGATGAATACTTTGTCAGATTTGTCTCAAATTTTTGCTTTTTTCATCCTAAATTCTCAATGTTTTCTTCCCCAGATGTCAAAAGAAACCATACAATAATTTGGTTTTACTTCTTATAATTCAACATATCTTTGTATTTTAAAAAACCTGGAGCCAAAAAGGTGACAGGATAATGCGCAACCAGGTGTTTCGGTCACCTGTACTGGCTGCGGTGTGTGTGTTTTTGATGTGGATGAACCAACAGAGGATCATTAAGAGCTGTTGTCCTCTGAAGAAACTCTAAAAATCAAACCAAAAATCACTTTGTTTCATCAATTATTGGGATCAAGCTGAAATAAAATCAGTTGTTGTTTGTCTACTGATGAAACTAGACACCAAGGTGTGTTTGTGAATATTAATCAGATGCCAAAGATGTGACTGTCACTTCCCAGTAATGACTTCTTTCGAACTACTGATTAATCGTCTAACCAGCTTTCCGAAGAACAGAACTGTTGCCTCTGTGTGTGTGTGTTCATGTAAATTTCGCCTGTCGTCACACCTGAACTACAAAATAAAGAAACCTGCCGTGAAAAGTCTTTAATCGGAAGCATGGACGCCTCTTTTTCTGTGGAGCCGGGATGCGACTGTGTGTGTGTGTGTGCTTCCATTTCACACACCAAACCCATTTCCACTCTCCCAGCTCCCATTTTAATGACAGGCATTAACAACACGGCGCGCTCAGATCTCCAATTTTTACGCAGAAATGTGCAGAACGGACTCTGTTCGACCTCCCTCCTCCTCTTCCTCCTTCTCCTCCACGTCTTTCTTTTTTGTCATTCCATCCTCTTCCTCCCCCCGCTGACTAATCCTCCACCTCCCACCCCCTCAGTCTCCCGCAGAGCCGTGGATGGCCGAGACATTTGTTTTATCTGGTCAGAATTGGACGGCTGCACCTCCAAATTAGAGGCGGCAGAGAGAAATCCCAGAGCTTGGTATCAAACCTCCAACCTCGCCCCTCGACACCGCAGCGGCAGGAGCTCGGGTGACGGCACGGCCCGCCTTCCAAAGCAGCCGCAAACCTCAGCGAGGGTATCTCCACCTCATCCACTTGCTGCTGAGAAATAAACCTGAATATACATTTACAGTAGCAGAAACCTGAGACGACGCCTGATATAATGCACAGGGGAAACCCTCCAGCTTGACCAGGAAACCACAACGAGAACCTCCTAGGCTTTAACGAGCTTTTTATGTGTTTGTAGAACATTATTATATGACATTAATGTAAAGATGTTTAACTGCGATTCAAAGCCACAAGCAACAAGGCTACATCTTTTTTTTTAAATCAGATTTAAAGGCTGAACGTCTGCTGCAGATTTACATTTTACTGCAACTAACGCTTACTTGAATGTGTCGATGATTTTCTTGATTAATCGATTAGTTGTTTGGTCAATAAAATGGTAAATCAGTGTTTCCCGAAGCCCCAGATGACGTCCTCAAATGTCTTGTTCTGTCCACAACCCAAAGATAATCACTTCAGTGTCGTGGAGGAGGAAAGAAACCAGAAATATTCACATTTAAGAAGCTGGATTTTGAGACTTTGTGATTAATCAATTACCAGATTAGTTGGGGTTTAATTTAGAAGTGGACGACTGATCACCACAGCTCTAATTCTTACCCACGACACCGCCAACGCAGAAGGTGGATCCCCCTGTTACTCGAGGAAACACACCGGCCCCCGCTATGCTGAACATCTCTGTTAAGTGTGACGGCGACGGGGTTTCAGGCTGAAACATCAGAGCTGCTTCAAGTGTCTTTATGTCACAAGAAATGATCAGAGCGAGACGACACACCAGGAGGGTGGGGGGGATAATAGGGAACAGGGTCAAAGGTCAAGTGCAGGAACAGGCAACACCGCCCGTTTCCCATGGGCACCCACGGAAACACCACGAGAACGGCGTTCCTGAAGGGGACGACCACAGCAGCAGCGGTGTCGGCGGTGGTGGTGGCGTTTACTACGACAGCTCACTCTCTGTCAGGGAGAGGCAGATGCAGTTTGCATGTAAATACCCGACTCCTCCACCCTCCCTCCCTCCCTCCTTCTCCTCCTCTCTATCTCTCTCATGTAGAGCAGGTCGCCCATCCTCTCTCTCTCTCTCTCCACCACAGCAGAGGGAAGGACTGGAGAGCTGCAGACTGGAGGGACCGGACGGACTGGATTCCACAGCTCAGTGGCGGCGGATAGTCATCATCACCTGCCCTCGTCATCCCACCTCTACAGTTTACCCTGAAACTCCACCGCCTTTATTTGGGAATGAGCTCATGTTAACAGAACACACAAAATACTCCTTGCAGGGAGGGGGGGTTAAATGTGTGGATGTTAAATGTGATGCTACAGGTGCCCAGGAGGCCTCAGGTGCTTGTGCTTGGGCTCACATTGGAAATAGATAATGATATACGCTGCCTCGCCTGTGTGACCGGTTTATGTGCAGCCTCAGGTGAATGGACTGTTGTATTGTTGTTGCTTTAAGCAGCCCCAGGAGTCCCTGAGGCAGATTAGCTGTGATATTACAGAGAGAAGACAAACCTCTGATTATAATGACGAGCTTTTTTACTGCCATTTTATATCCTTCTCTATAGACTGACAGTCCCTGCAGAACTCTTAGAGCCTCGGATGGAGACATGCCCAACAGAAGCAGCTCCTATACGCACTATAGGGAGCCGTGCACACAGCAGCAGCATACTGTACTTTGCTCCTCAAATGCACTGTACAGGATTACTGTAGTGATTTTTCAGTTTCGGGGAGGTTAGGAAACCCAGAGTGACCCGCAGGAAGCTGTATTTTATTATTGACAGACATGGAGGTAATGTTGAGGACGGAGGGGATCGATACGGATCAATACCACTGTAGTGTAATATAGGTAAAATACCCATCAGTGAAGATTACACGCTGAATATGAACATGCAATCGTTTTAAACGCCTTTATTTTACCAACAAGTGTTTTTAGAACAGCAGCCGGATCGTTATAAACGCCTGAGTGCTTGCGGGGATTTATCATCCATCTATGTGTGTGTGTATGTTTTTAATTAAGTGCTCATCCAGGCGAAAATGAAAAATAAAGTGGATGCACTCTTCCTATCTGTCGTGCGTAAAGCGGCTCCTGCAGCCCTGCACACTGACAGGGTCTGGATGAAAATGTGTAAAATATTTCGTGATGTTATGTAAAAGATCTAGATTTAAGATTCAGTGTTGGAGCGGGGTCTGTGGAGTGAAGTTCCTACCTGGACCGGGTGAGAGCCGCGCGGTTCCCCAGCTCTGAGCGCTCCAGCCCGGCTACAGGCTCCGCTCCTCCTCGGTACACAGACGGAGCTGCTCCGGGAGAAAAAAAAATTAACAATCCACAATGCAGGGAAAAATAAGACCTTAAAACAAATCAAACAATCCAGGCAGGGGGTAAATTATTCCTCCAATTTCCTCTCACAATTTCTGTCCAGTTTTACTGTCGTGACCAGCGCTGCGCGTCAACCCGGTGGTCCTTCCTCTTCTCCGGGGCTTGAGCTGGAGCCCAGCCGGGGGAACACCCGTCCGGACCGGGGTCACTCACTCACTGCTGCTACTCCGTGAACGCTTACCACCGCACCGACAGCAGCAACAGCATCCTACGCTGATGGCACGCTTGGGGAGGCAGTGGGGTGGAGGTGGAGGTGGAGGTGGTGGTGGTGGTGGAAGCGGACGGAGCACCGGGACGGGAAAAAAGGATGGGGAAACGGTTAAAAATCACCCAAGCAAAGAACACTAGGTCCGGTAGGTCCGGGAGTTGCCAGCAGCGGTCGTCCGGTTAGTTTCCACCCCGACGCGCAGTCACCGCTCTGCCGCTACAAACTCTGTCCGCCTCCCGGTCCAGCACGGAGCAGGTCGCGCGGCTGCACTGTGTGTGATGAGAAAGTGGAGTGATTCCAAACGACTGCGCTCGCGCTTCCCTCCCTCTCCCTCTCTGTAGCTCGCTCGCGCTCCCTCTCTCGGTCTCTACCAAGCTGTTCCCCCCACTCCTCCCCCCCTCCCTCGCCTATACACTCTCTATACAGTGTACCGGAGGGGGGGCGGAGCGAGCATCCACCCCAACAACTAACTCTTCAGTGGATTTCCCAACAATCTCTGCCATTTTTTTTAACTTCTTTTACAAAGATATGGCGACTTCTTCCGGCCGCCGTTCATGAACAAGCGGAGCTCTTCTGCTATTTTTAACCGTTTAAACTGCGGCAGCTCGGGGTCCGAGTCTCCATCACCTTAAATTAAATCTAAAATGAGTGTAACTGCTGTTAAAGAGGGGATGAAACACTTTGATTTGACTCTTACCCGCCATATTGTCTCATTCAAACGGTCTAAACACCAACCCTCCCTCCGCTTCCACCCGTATATACAGTAAATAAATCTTTCTACCTCTTTTATTTTTTTTAAATCATCTCCCTCTCCGTCTTCATCCACCGTCTCCCTGCCTCCTCCTCCTCCTCTCCTCCTCCTCTCGCAGCTCCGTCCTGCCACAGCACAGAGAGGCGGGAAAGCGGCCGTCTCTCGCGCTCTGAGCGCCACCTACAGGCGAGAAGCGGCACGTGACAGCAGCGAGGCAGAGAGCTCGAGCTCACTCAGGCTTCTTCCTCGCCTTCTTCCACTGTGTTTTTTCCCGCCACCGTGGAGCGCAGACAGCAGGGGACATATAGGCAAAAGATGGAGTCTGTATAGTGCAGAAGTGTCGACATCATGGCCGTAATTACAGCAGTGTATGTTCCATGAACACAGCGCAGCTTGTGGTGGAGGGAAGCTGTTATCCAAAGCAGCTTACTGTACTGTGATATTACACACAACACATATGGATTATGTTTTCTTGCATATGGCCGCCTCAGTTTCATTGCATCTGCTTAGAGAGCTAATCCAAATACATCATTCAAAAACAATTAAGAAGCTGTCTTAAAAAATTATCGCAGCTTTGGCTTTTTTTAAAGGACAGACATTACTGTTGCTGTTAAAAAAACAAAAAAACATCCTGTCAAGTATTTTCTGTATTTAATGAGTAAACTTCTGAAGTGATTAAAAGTGAAAAGGCTGAGCTGGAAACAAGAAGAATAAAACTTTATTTAAGGGAATGTTCTTTATTTACCAGGGGAAGGGGGTGACATTTTATTTTGTGCAGGTGATCACTCAGAGAAACCTGGATGTTGTTCAGATTTGCTGGTTAAACACTGTGTTATCCTTCACGTCTATTAACTGTGTTAAAATTTATAACATAC